TCATTTCCTCTGGTTTTATTTATAAATAAAGCCGGAGTGAGGAGTGAGTATACTGAATCAGGAACTCCAAACTGGGATCTTTATATGATCCTTATCTTATCTTTCAGCTTGTGATTAATATCAGATGTGTGTAATAAGTCAAATTTAGCTGCGTTAGCATCTTAGCTTCAATGGCAGATTTCAGGATGCGTGTCCAGTTTGCTGCTATGCGAGTTTCCACAGCAGGTCGTCCACCGGTTTAAGAACCATTGTGAATTTAAAACAGATCTGATGTAAAATGGGTCCTTTAACTGTAAAATGAGTGGAATATTTCCAGCACACTCGGATCATGAGGTGAATTGATCAGAAAACCAGAGCAGTCTCGCCTTCGTCTGACCGGAGGCTCCTCTCCTCCTGCCGGTTGCTTCTGAAGTGTGCTGCTCTGTGTTTCCTGCAGGTTTGGGACCTCCGGCAGAACAAGTTGATCTACAACATGCACGGCCACGGCGACTCGGTAACGGGGCTCAGCCTGAGCTCCGAGGGCTCCTACCTCCTGTCCAACTCCATGGACAACACGGGTAGGTCCGGCCAGGACCGGTTTGCTTCCCCCGGGGCTCAAATCCAGACTTTTACACAGGTTTGTTCCTCCTGCAGTTCGGATTTGGGACGTGAGGCCATTCGCACCCAAGGAGAGATGTGTCAAGATCTTCCAGGGAAACATCCATAACTTTGAAAAGGTACCATGCATGCTGCTTTTATCCCAACACACTTCAAATTTCTGTTGAAATGGCCTTTAATCGAATTGGAAATCTTAGCTACAGTCGTAGTTTGGCCTTCGCACCAACAGCCGTCTCTGTGTTTTTCTTGGAAAAACTCAGCGTCCATCTTGTTTTTAAGGGTCAGACGGCAGATGAGCTGGTTTCAAACCCAGTCTGGGTCTCTTTGCTTCCTTTGTTCAGAACCTGCTGAGGTGCTCCTGGTCCACCGACGGCAGCAAGATCGCTGCAGGTTCTGCTGACAGGTGAGAGGCTGTTTTACACTTAAAGCGACTGAAGGCCAGTTCTGCTCAAAAGGAAAAACAAAAGTGGTTCTTCGTCTCCCTGAAACAGAACAATGTGCAGCTCACAGAGCTGACGACCACATTTGTTCACCAGCTAACCCGTTTCCATCACCACAGACAGACAGTGGGGGAAATAAGTATTTGACCCCTTGCTGATTTTGCAGGTTTGCCCACTTACAAAGAATGCTCATTTTTCCTCATCAGATGGTTATCAATTTTTATAAATTCATATGTGATTTTCTGGAATTTTCTTTGGGATTCTGTCTTTCACTGTTAGAATGGACATATGATTAAAGTTATAGATTGTTGCATTCTTTGTAAGTGGGCAAACCTGCAAAATCAGCAAGGGGTCAAATACTTATTTCCCCCACTGTAGTTAATAACAGAGTAGAGAGGGAAAGCCTTCTTGCTCGGCCCTGGACTCCAAACCTTCCTCCAGATGTCTTCTGCTGGTGGAAACTAGGTTTTCTTAAATCAGTTTCAATCCTCATGCTGTTTAGAAAAAGCTTTTTCTGTGGGAGTTTGTGTACAACTCACCAAAGCGGTCTAAATAATCTGTGTTATTTGTACTAAACACATACAGTATATAAACGTCTAAAACATCCAGATTAGTGTTTAATTGTAATCACTACGACATGGGAGTGAGCTGGGCCGCAGACAGACGTGAGCAGAGAGGCCAGCTCGGCTTTTTTCTCCTGAACCGCTCTGATTGTGTGAACAGGTTCGTGTACATCTGGGACACCACATCACGCCGGATCCTCTACAAGCTGCCAGGTCACGCCGGCTCCGTTAACGAGGTGGCCTTCCACCCAGAGGAGCCCATAGGTGAGTCCCACAGCTGCCCGGCCCCAGACGGGTCTGTGTAACCATGGATAGATAGATAGATAGATAGATAGATAGATAGATAGATAGATAGATAGATAGATAGATAGATAGATAGATAGATAGATAGATAGATAGATAGATAGATAGATAGATAGATAGATGGATGGATGCATAGATAGATAGATAGATAGATACCATGGACTGCCTTTATTGGTCCATTGTTTCATTACAATAAACACTCATAGATAGATAGATAGATAGATAGATAGATAGATAGATAGATAGATA